GGGCGTGGAAAAGAGCGACGCTGCAAAAAGTCGCCCGAGCGAACGCGCCTTCGACGGGAAACGCCGGAGAAAGCTTTCGCCGCGTCGACGCTCGTCCTCTGCTCGCCGACGGGCCCCTCGTTCTATCCGTTGGTCCACGGGTAAAAATGTGTCGAGTCTCGCCCTGCCTTTCGCTCGTTGTGCGTTCCGAAGTCAGCGCCGATCGGAAAAGTGCGAGGAAAGAATGCGTGTGCAGAGGCCGCGCAGCGACGAGCAGTTTTCGCTGTGTGCATATATATATCGAGTTCATTATTTTGCCCGATGAGAAAAGTGCGTCTGGTTCGTCTCCCTAAGATTAAGTTGTATTGTATCAGCAGAAACCAGCCTCTCGCGAAAGACGTCTCGAGGTTGTTCCAAGTTTTATAGTCCCTTTTCATCAATTCATCGGTATGCATGTCGCGCGTGAACGACGCGCATGTTTCCGTTATTTGTTTCATTGGTGATGTTCCCTAAAGTAATTGACATGAAGATATATTTATTTATATATACTTTTTTTAAATATATAGTTGTGTGTCGCGACACGTGCCCGCAATCCAAATGCTCGCGCACGATACTTTCGTGAGTCTTTTCCACTAGCTTCTAGAAAAAAAAGTGGTTACATCTCTATCTGCCGTACTCCATCAGGATTTACTGTATTATTCATTGTTTTCGTCCAAGCAGAAAAAAGATATAAATACTATGTAGTTGAAGCGCTGATTTGCGATGAAAAGGTGTGGTGCGTAATATGATATACATGGTGTATGCATGCGACAAATAAATGAACGATCAAGAAAGCAATGAATGGAAACAAAAAAAAATGAAAATGAGGAGTTGCTGCAAAAAACTTGAGTTTATTGTTCTCCACAAGAGTTTCTCGCTTACAAAAATAAAACTTACATCGGTATTATTCGTCCAGTGCGAAAACAGTGGCGGAGGTGTGTGAGTTGGTGCTCGTTCTCTCTCGTTCTCCTTCGCGCGCCGTGCCTCGACCAATCGATCGCGTTCCCACGGCTTTCTTGTGCTACGGCCGCGCGCGCAATTAGCCTCGCCAATCCGTGCCTTCCTGTCGCGCGCGAAATTCCACCTGTACGCGCAACGTCGTCGCTCTTCGCGCGTGAAAATTTCAGGGGGGGGGGAAATTGCGCGCGCGCTGCTCCGAAATTGAAAAACGCACTTTCCTCCGCTTTGCTTTTCCACCTCGAATGCAAAACTCATCAAACAACGCGCACGCTTTTTTTTCAATTTGTTTTTTTTTGTGTTTCAAGTCCGCTTGCGGCTCTACTTCGTCTTTTTCTTTTTTCTGTTGCTTTTCTGCACCAAACTTGCTTAATCTTACATAATAATGTTATCGTGTACCTCGCGTACATCACGCAATAATAATAATAGTAGATAATAGTAATAATAATAATAAACGCTATCAATAATAATAAATATTTCAATACATGTATACAAAGTTAGCAATTAGATATGAATTAGGTTTTTGACGGAACAAATCACGACAATGCTTACATCGGTAATAAAAAATAAATTATTTAAATGTAACTTCGCGTATCTCGCTTCTTTTTTTTCCTTCTTTTCTTATATTCTCACTTTCAATCGCATTCGTTCCTCTCTCTCACTCTCTCAATGAAAATAGAGCTCGCAATAATGTTAATAATAATGTCAATAATGATAATAGCAATGACAATAATAATAATAATGATAATAAATTGTCGAATGATAATAGTTAATATATAGTGACTTTGGCGATAAAATTTGCAATATTTCGTAGGACTATAATGCAACTCGACCATAAACAATAATGTTCACTTTCCATGCTTTTTTTCATCGAATACAAAAAAAATCATAATCAATTACGATAAATAGTCATGATAAAACCTTAATAATTAATTAATAATAAGAAAAATGGTTAAGATGATATATTCGAATACATCATTTATACCGATTACGCCTACTGACTATCGTAATTATATTAAGTAATTAGTTTGTATTGTTTTGTAAGTTTTAAATATGTATCATTTTATGTGTATCCCTTGTCATACACAATATAAAGTAGCAAAGTTTTTGTTCTTCAAGAGGCCATGACTAGACATTCAATCGTTATATATAATAATATGTTGATGTATATAAGTATACACTTAAAATTTAATAACAAGATGGCGGGCGGCACCACGAAATGGCCGACGAAAAAACACTCGACGTCTCTAAACTTCAGGCTACTGTGTGTTTATTAATATTTTTTACTGTTTTTTAGCATTTTTTTCTGTTTGCTTTGTTTTACTTTCAGTAAAATGACTCTTGGTTGCTTCATTTTTTTTTCACGAAAAAACGATTATTTATTTATTTATTAGTTTTTTTATACACGTACGAAAAAACGACATACCGCGCCCTCAGTATTTTCAACGTGCGAGCGAAAAAACTCCTAAACTCTACAAAGTTTTATACCATTAATGTTTTTTTGTTTTTAACACCCAATGTTTTTTTTTTAATTATTTTTACACACTTACTGTGGGATTACCTCACCTCGTCAACGTGTTTTTTTTGGTATGTTTAACAGCGAGTCTCGCGAGGGTTTTTTCGGTTAATATTGTCGTCTCGTTATGTTTTTTTTACCTGTAGCGCCTCATCTCGTTTTTGTTAAATACATTGACGACGAGAAAACTCCTTGTTTAAAATGAGATTTTTTTGTGCAACAACATGTGTGTGATATACAATAACGGCGTCCTATAACACGGGACGAGATAAACAGCGAAAAAAGAATTATACCATCCTTGCAAACAGCTCCTCGTCTCTATCTCTCTATCTCTCTCTCTCTCTCTCTCTCTCTCTCTCTCTCTCCTCTCTTTCATTATGCTCTTTCTTTTTGTGTAGTCGCATCCATGGACGGACCGCTTTTCTCCCATGTCTCTCTCGTACGTCTTTCCGTCCTGCCGCGGAGAAAAATATCGCCTATACCATCGAGTTTGATTGACGGGGTGGAGGGCGGCTGGCGCCGTTCCAAGTTCAGTGTGATTTGTCAGTCTTACCGGAAAAAACAAGTGCACCCTCGCGTTCAACTTTTATTTTCTAAACCCGCTGCTAAGCGCGCGCTCGATGCTTCAACAAATTCGCTTCACTCGCTTGTTCCTTTTTTTTTTTCTTCTTCTTGTCGTCGGAGTAGAAGATTCGATGTCGTGTGTGCTCGTTCGCGACTGCGAGTGCGCTCGTTTACGGGCGGAACCCTCATTGACCGCTTGCGAGTTACCCGTCGGAAACGGCGTCTCCGTCTGCATTGTATCGGATCGTCGATTGCGACCAAGCTCTCTTGCTTTCCTTTTGCTCTTCTCTGGACTCGTGGTACGTGTGTGCTCGCGCAAGTCTCTCGCGACCTCACGCGACTAATAGAAAATTAACAAGTACGATTATTCGCGATATAAGCGAAGAGGTTTGTCTGTTCCTTAACACCTACTAAGAGCCTTAACACCTGAGAATTAATTCCGCCGCGAGAGCCCCGACTGCCCGCGATTTCTTTCAATTTTCTTTGTTTGTTTGGCTTGTTTCTTATTATCTCGCTCTTAACTGTTTAATACGTTAACTAGGCATGCAACATTACAATGTACGAAGTATTATTAATGTTAATAATAATTAAAAATAGTAATCAACTATGCGAATACTCCTTCCCTTTCGCCATTTTTTTCTTTGCTTTCACAATGTTTAACGTTAGAATTGGGCCCGGGAAGAATAGTGTGCATTATTTTTTTCCCCCAGTCTCGATCGTCGTCAAGACGCGCGAAGAGAAAAAAACGTTGAGCGCTCGCTTCCGAAAATTGCTTTTTTCTTTTTTTTTTTTTTTCATCTCTCTTTTAGCGCGCGCAATTGGCGAACGTACAAAAATATATGAATCATCTATCCAAACGCTAAACCCTAAAAACTTGTTTTTTTTTCTCAACTTTTATAATAACCAGTAATCGTTAATAGCCGAGCGTACGTTTTTTTCTCTTCATCTTCTTCCCACCAGCGACCAGTTGTTGTTGTTGTTGTTGTTGTTGTTAGTCATCATCATCCTTAAAAATTACATGTGTATACATTAATTACGTGAGTGCTTCGAAGTTAATACACCGTTATTCTCCTTCCTCCCACTTCGCTCGTCTAATAATAAAATCGCACGACTAGCAATTCGTATCACGACTTGGTTTTTTGTTTGTTGCCTCGATTAATACTCACTCGTGACGGTCGCGTCTTTGCCTTCGACTGCGCCGAGAACTGTTTTCCCCCTCGCGTCGGCCACGAAAGTACTTCGCCCTTTAACAATTGATATGTGAAATGCGCGAATGGCCTTCGAGCGTAAAATGTTGCGTGCGTCGAAATCCGAGGTGGATTGCGCTTCCGGCGTGTCACAGCATCGTCATCCTCCCCCGCAGGGAGTTTCCGTCTTGTATGTAGGTGTGCAGCCGTGATATGTGAAAGTAAAAGCTTTTTCTCGTTTTAACGAAACTCGCCTGCGCTCGGAGTCAAGCCCCAAATGAAAAGCAACGCTCGTTTTTCCTTCCTTCTCGGATTCGCTGGAAACGCAGTCCTCCCTCGGCGTTTCGCGATTTTGCTCCACGCCGAAATTCCTTATCGTCCATGCCTTCCGTTTCTTTTTATTATAAAAGTTATATCGTCATCTGCTAGTTCATTCATTTTCTTCGCCCATATCTACCAGTAATTAAAATAGTTTTCGTTTCATCGCTAAACAATTTTTTTGATGTGCTTGATCGGAGGACGCCTTGGAATTTCCGCGAGGACTGGATTCGCTTGCGTAACAATCGTGGGTGAAAAACAGTCTCGTTCGTCGTTATACGCACCCGGCTTGAAAATCAACACGTACGACGCCAGAGTCTATCGCTACATTCATTAATATTAATTAGTTTAAAAATTCGCTTGAATATCGTTAATTATTATTTGTTTACGCTTACATAGAAAAACACAGCTACTCGTCGATCACTATATAGAACCTGGAATGTGTAGATGCGATGTTTTTACCTTTTTCTCTTTTCTTATTTCGCTCTCGCTAATAGGACGAAGGATGTTTTCTCAATCTCATCGTCATCATTTTATTGTATGCACATCGCGCCGCGATCTCGAGAGGCCACAATAACTGCTTCTGTTCTCTGTGGAATGTGGCTTTTTTCGTTCGTTGACTGCCGAGATTCAGTATTTGCTTCTTTCTTTAAAGACATGATGGTTTCGTTTCTCTTTTATCAAGCCATTATGTAGGAACTCAAAGGGTTAAAGGACATGGTGTGAGGCAAACAAGAGGATGCAGGCAGAAAAATAGTGAAATACAAAATATAAGTAATAAGGCAGAGAAAACCAAATAAAAACACAGTCGGTGAAGTAATGTGAACTGAAAATATTATTAAAAAGCATTTTACAACAAAAAAATAACTAAAAAACAAACAAAAATACGCTTTACAATTAAATTAAGAACAATTGGGTTGTATCAATTAAAATAATAACATAACAAACCATACAAAAGAGAGACAGTACTGTTTCGCGTTCATTTTCCCTTTTTTTTCAATTACACGTGTCGCGTTGTCTCTGTCGCACTTTCATCGAAATCTTGTTCTATCGCAAATTTTCTTTTATTTTAAATACGTATGTGATTCTCTCGAAACTCGCCCTTCTCTGTACTTTCATTTATAACATAACACAGACATGCGCATTCAACTAAATAGTATACACGTAAACAAAAATTGGGATTCGCGAGGGGTTTCGAGAAGAAACAGACAAGTAAAAAAATATACCTTATATATGTGTGCTTTTTGTGTATGTATGCTTGTTCGTGAAGTCGGCAGGACTGGAATGAATTGTTTGATTTTTCTTTCTTTCTACATTCTCAAGTATATGTAGGTATATCTACGGAACGGAAAAATATGAAAGAGACTTTACAACGCGACATCGGAAAATCCATCGTACAATCGATTGGTCGGTGTTTGAAGATAAGAGCTTCTATTCTTTCTTTTTTCTTCTTTTACCCGTTCTCTTTTACAAGAAGTATAACCATAATCAATAAAAAATACAAAATTTCCTCGTTATATCCATAAACTGCGCGACTAACTACTCAACGACAATTACACTATTTGTTCTGCTCTCGAGAAAATTTTTTTGTGCACTCGCCACGTTTTTGTGTTTTTTCTATTATTTCTACAGTATATGAAACACGCGATGGTTAAATAATAATAGTACAAAGAGTTAAATCAGTTCGGCGAAATCTTATCTACCACTGTATACAAAAAAGGAAAGAGAAGGAAAAGTCTCGTTATAATGTATGCTCAGAGCTCTGCGAGATCTAGACCTAAACTTACGAGCAAATACTTTTTTGATTTTCGTGTAGACGACGGGACTTGTTCGGGATTCTTCTCTCTCTCGAGTTTCTCGACTTTGTTCGCCTGGCTCGATCGAGAGCGTATGCGCGCACGCGTTTGTAAGTCCAAGAAAAGAATTCGCCAACTGTGTGCGCGGATAAGTACATGGTAAACGCGTCGATCGAGCGAGCCGACGAAAAAGAGAGATACTTTGTCGAACGAGTCCCGCGAGTTCGGAGGGCTGCGGGCAGTGACGCTTCAGTTCTTAGTTACAAGAAAAACCATACGGGCTGTAGTAGTTGGTGTGTGGATAAATGAGTAAGTAGTTACGAGTAAGTAAATAATTAGCGGTGTTAATAAAAGGAAAAAAAAACACATGCGCGTGCAAGTCACCGCGTGATTCATCCAACAATAGTGATAGTAATCGTACGATAAGTAAAAAAAACTAAGAAAAGGAATCTTACTGTCGTGTAGTTAATACTTGTGTGCGCACGCGCGAGCGTGAGATAATTTCGAACAACTAAAAGGGACCACTTTTGCCTAGATGCAAGTGACAGACATTGGTCGTCATTTCATTTCGTTTTTAATTATTACTTTAGTATATCTACTACTTTGGGCAAAAAAACAAAAATCATTGAGAAACATGAACGGAAAAAAAATGAGAAAAACTAAAAATAAAACACAAAATCGAACAAAGAGAGGAAAATCCTAGATAACAGACAAATTAATAAGGCGTAGGAGAAAATATATAAACTCTTACGTGTGAAGATGTACAATTTGTTACTACTATTTGACTACAGAACTACTATAAAATCATAATAAAAGTGTTTCTAATAGTCATTACAAAAAAAATATTAATAGAATTAGTTGAGAGAAAAAAAAAACACAACGGATGTCGAGGAAGAGGATCGTACACAAGATGAGCTTCGTCGTCGATCTCGTTAAGACAAGAAATTCACGTTAAGTCAATGTATTCTCGTTAAAAAAAATTAAAGTAATAGTATTCGTACGATCGTTCATTCTCTTTCTCTTGAATTCATTAAATACTAAGTAATAGCATTAGTTAATATTGATGAGACATACAAAAAAATAATAATGTCGCGCATTATAGAAACAAAAGGGGCCTAGAGAGTTTAGTAAACGTCGAACGAGCGCGTAATACTGGGGGGTTCAACTTTCTTTCCCTACTTCCTTTTTCCATCCGCCTTATGCGTTTAAATATAAGAGTTGCATTATGCTTGTCTCAGAGCCGCTTGTTATCGACTAATACTTTTTTTTTCTCATTTGATTGTCACCAAGCACAAGAGTCTCGCTTTTCTTTACAAAAGAAATTGTCGCTCTAATACTACTACTCGGACGAACTGTCATTCCATTAAATATAACGCAACAATTTTTTGTCAATCTTACAGACAAGAAACTCTGAAAGTCGACGACCAGCGACTCCCTTACAAACGAACGAAGAGAAGCGCAGGGATGAAAAGAAAAAAAAACAAACAATTAATAACGCGTCAAGTGGATACGATTGGGTATAAAAAGTAGTAACTAAAATACGCCAAGGCAGCGGTCAGTGATCATCTTAAATGCAGGAAATGCATGCTCATGAGAAGAGAGGCTACTACTTTTCATTCAATTAGCTAGATCTATCGCGTCTTGTTCTCTTATTGGTTTCCTCTTAATTTGTCTGTTCGCTTTGCGCACAGTCGTTACAGTAATACATAAAAAAAAAACAAAGAAAAAAACACGTTCACGTGTAACGATGAAAACTCGAGTAGTTCAACACGCAATCTCTTATCCGCTCTCAAATTGGCGATCGTCGATTATTGACTAAGTAATAGAGTACAAACTAACTAATAATTATTAAATGCGAGCGTACGCAAAGAAAAAAAGCACTACCTATGTCGTACGATAAAAAGTAGCAATAATATTAATAATCATAAAAATGTAATAAGATAATAATAAAAAAAATGATGATAATGGTTATTAGTACGAGTGATCGTAATTACAAGAGGGTCGGGGTGGGAGAAAGGCTTGATACTTAACGACGATTGTTATTAGCAAAATGCATCGAAGGAGCCTATACTCGATCACCGTGTCACTTTTTGTTTTTCTTCCGATTTTCGATACTCTCATGAGCTTTCGTGACGGCTCGGAAATCTACATGTTTTTGTATATTTGTACGTGTGTGCGAATTTTTCGCGCGCGCATGTGTTAACATCAATCGAGGCAAGAGAATTGGAATCAATAAAAAAAATATATTAACAAAATCAATATAATCAGCTGCGCAATTGCCTCACTCATTCCATAACTCTCTCTCTCTCCCCCTCTCATTCACATTATATCATTGGAATCTCGCAATTACGCAATCATAAATCTTTCCTGTGTGCTTTTTCAATCTTTTTTTCGAGAATCGAACGTGCCTCGAGTACAAAGCCAAGTTGTCAATAGAACGTAAAAAAAAAAAAAAAATAAAATAAAATAAAACGCTCAAAGTATATAAAAAAGAAAACACAATTCACTGGAAAAAGGAGAGATTATAAGTTAACAAGGATAGAGATTCCGAAAGGATGAATGCATTTGTTTAAAGGGATGTGAAATGACGATAATACATGGAAGGGAGAAAGGTACAAAGGGGGGAAAGTGACTAGCGGCGGCGAGCTCTACAACTAAACAACAACAACAGTATTTTCAGTTTATAACAACATTAACAAGTAAGTTTTGTCGCGCGTCTCCGTATCATCTTCATCTCTTTTGTCCGTCCCTCGAAAAATCCAATTCTCGCTTCAAAAGTTCATTATTGAAAAAATACAAAATAAATGAAATTAAGGAATTCCTCTCCTCAATGCTCGCACACGCTTTCCTATTACTTCGGTCATTTCGTCTTATGGCCACCTTTGTAATCCCACTGACCTTCCCCTCTCTCACTTGATCCCCCAGCTAAATTAGCAATGTCTATAATCGACTCCAGATTTCAATCGAAAAGAGAGAAATGGTTGCGGGAGAGACAGCGAGAAAGAGAGTAAGGTAAGCGAAGGGAGCACAAGAGCATTGGCAAATTATTAACACACTTATGACAGTAATACACGAAAGATCGTAAATCGAGGATATAGAAGTAATAAAAAAGAAGAAAAGCAAAAAGTGGCTGAATGGCCTAGTAAGTTGAGGCCGCAAAGAAACGAGACTTGCAATCTCATCAGCGTCATCGTTGTCGCTGCACGCGGCTCTGGCTCTATATGCCGATCGGCGGCACCTGCACGTAGCGGTAGATGTAAAGTCGGTAGTCCTTGCTAGCAAGCACCACGCTGCCGTCGTCCATGAGAGCGACATCGAAGCACTGGGCGTGCTTCACTTTAGACTCGAGGGCCGACACCAATTGGCCGTCTTGCGTGAAGATCGTCAGGTTGAAGTTGTTGTGATTGTCGGCGATGAGGATCTCACCCGCGGCATTGATGCCCACGCCGATCGGATAATTGGTCACACCCTCGCCGCCGATTTGGCGCAGGTAAGCACCTTCGTAATTGAATACCTTAACGCAGTGCGCGCGATTGTCGCTGATGAAGATCTCCTGCTTGTCGTTGACCACTACGCCGTTGGGGAACTCGAGATGCTTGGAGCAGCCGAATTTCTGCAGCACGTTGCCAGCCTGGTCGAAGATGATCACCCTCATTACCTTGCACTCGACCACGACGATGCGGCCCTTGGAGTCGACCGTCACGCCGCGCGGGTGTTGCAGGATGTTGGCGCCGAACTTGCGCACAAATTGGCCGTACTGGTTGTAAATCTGGATCTGGTGGGTCGGTGAGCGCTCCGTGACGATGATGTCGCCCGAGGTGCGCACCACAGCCACGCGATTGGGATAGAGCAGCTGGCCGTCACGTTTACCGCACTCGCCGAACTGGAACTTGAAGCGGCCCTCTTTGTCGAAGATCTGAATCCTGTGATTGTTCGTGTCGGCCACGATGATGTCGTTCTGCGCATTAACCGCGACCCCGGACGGCTCGGTGAACTGGCCCTCCATCACGCCAAACTCGCCGAATTTGCAGTGGTAGATCATCTTCTGGCGCTTGATCTGCGACTTGAGCGGGAACATGGCGGCGGTGGGCATAAGCTTGGAGGTTAGGTCGAGCACCGAGTCGGGAGCGGCGGTGGCGGCGGCGACCGCCGGCAGGGGGAAGTGGTCGGCGCTGCTTACACCCACCGGGTAGGGATCCGAGCCGCCGTTGCTCCACTTTTCATATGGGTTGTTCATGCCGTTGAGGTTGAGATCGCTGATGGTGGTGCTGAACGGGCCCAGACTGTTGGCGCTAGAGAATCTCTTGGAGATTACGCTGCCGGTGCTCTCGAAGGGCGAAGGTGAGGTGCTCGGGCAACTGGTTAGACCGTTGCTATAGGGTCGATCGAGCAATAAACCACCGAGGGAGCCGGCGCTGCCGGGGCCGCTGCTGGTGGCACTGCTAACGGCGCCGTTGGTGCTGCCGATGGCCGTGGGTCGAGCGATGGGTGGCTGCTTGCTAGGGCCGACGCTACCGTCGCTACTGCTGTTGCTGCTGCGCACGTAGCCGAAGGTGTTGCGCACGCCCACCTGGATGGCCTGATAGTTGCTGACGAACTCGAGGTCGGTGGTCGACTGGCCACTGAGGTCGGGCGAGTAGCTGAGCATGAGCTGCAGCTTGGAGTCGAGCAGCTTCTTGACCATGAGCACCTCGGTGACGGTGGTGTGCTTGGTGAGCCTCTCAACGAAGTCACAGGTCTGCTGGATCTTGTCGGCCATCTCGGTGGCCTTCTGCGTAGCCACGCCCAGCGAAATCTGCTTGGCCGAGAAGATGGATTCGAGCTCCTTGAGCAGCTCCTGCTTGCGCTCCTCAAGCATCGAGCGGTAGAACTGGAAGGTGTCGTTGATCTCGTTCTGCGCCTTGTGATACTGCACTTGGAGGCGCGCGGCTCCGTGGTCGGCCGACTTGACGGCCGCGCGGATGTCGCCGGACTTGGCCCGGCACTCGGCGATCGCGCGTGACACCGCCTCAAGCTGCTGCGGCCCCACCTCGCTGATGTGCGCGCACTCGTGCAGCGGGCTCGGGTGCTCCGACAGCGTACACTCCTTGCAGACGGGCACGCTGCAGCTGCGGCAGTAGTACTTGAGCAGCTCGGTCTTGTGCCGGGGACAGAACAGCACCTTTTCGCCGTTGCTGCTGCCGTTGATGAGCAGCGAGTTCTGGCCTTGCACGAGGCTTTGCACCACGTTGTTGGCGCTGCCGTTGGTCTGGCCGACGGGCGGGCTGACCGCTGGCTTGTCGAGACCGTTGCTGCTTGGACCGTTGTTGCCGCCGCCGCCGCCGCCGCCGCCGCCGCCACCGCCGCCGCCGGCGCCGTTGCTCGCGGGGCCGCCTTCAGCGCCGTTGGCCGCCGAGCTGAGCTTGGAGTCGAGGGTGAGCACGCGGTGGCCCTCGAAGCAATGCATGAACTGATGCGCCATCACGCAGTTGGGACAGAGGAAGTTGGCGCAGTCGAAGCAACGCGCGACCGCGTCGGACTCGGTGCTCTTGCAGCCGGTACAGCGCACGCCGCCCGTGGCGGTGGTGGCTGGCTGCTGCTGCACGCCGTTGGTCAGCTGGCTGTTGAGGTTGTTGTTTGTGATGGTTTGATTGTTGGACGAGCTGGACGAGGTGGACGAGGAGCTGCTGCCGCGGCAGCGCGGGCAAGGCGCGTCGCCGGGTTTACTGGGCGTGTCGAGGCACAGGTCGCAGCTGTCGACGTCGCAGATCGCCGAGTCAGATGCCGGCGGCGAGCTGCCGCTCACCGTCAGAGGCGACAGCGAGGCCAGGGAACCGAGGGAATTCGCGCGCGATTCCAGCGATGGTGTCGGCGAGGCCATCTTCAGTCAACCGGCATTCCTGCAACATAAACCAAGCGCATCGTCGTATTAGCTGCTGTTTGCTTTCGACCTCCTCCTCCTCCTGCTCCTGCCTGCCTCCATTGACTTTCCGAGCTACCACGCCGCGCATTAAGTGTATTACGCCTTTTCCCGATTTCTTTTTCCATTGATCGTTCTTTTATTGGGATCGCGAGAGGGCAACCGATGCGTCTACAGATGCTACGCTTTTTGTTATTGAATATTTCAGCAGATCCATCGCCGCGCCTCATCGAAGCAAATCATTCTTATTTTTTCGTATCTATAAACTATTTTCTTCGGTTATAGTTGTGTGCATATACATATATGTATATTTCGCTAAAAGTCACAGCCACTAAACCTGATTAAATTATTAGACTCGAAGTAACAATGTTCATCACTGAGTGCAGCATTATCGATACTAATGCTACTTCTATCCTCAATATCAATTATATATATTGCGCGCGAGGCGGATTGCAACTAATTGCTTACGCAAACTCACTTACGCGGGTTTTATTGTAATCCATCAACTGGCGTGAATGATACAGCCACGGCGCCGTTAAAAGCCCGACAATGGCTTCTGGGCTCGCGATAATCCACCGAAATTTCGCGTGTCACGCGGATTTTAGACAATTGCCCGCTCACGAAAAGAAACCAAAGCCCTGCAATAACGAAGGAGATGAAAAACCAAAGAGGCCGGATTTTCCTGTGGAAATTAATGAAGGTGCAGCGCAAAATAAATCATCGCCTTTGCTAAAAATGGAGAAGGCGAGGTTAGAAGCAGCAGCAGCAATAGTAAGGTTGCGATCAAATCAACTGCAGTGTTCGCGTAATGCTCGAGCTCACGGAATTCCCACGGACGTAATCGGCGCGGGCGCATCTCGTTTGCTATTACGCCAGAGCGAGAACCGAGAGAGAGAGAGAGAGAGAGCGAGTGAGAGGGGAAGGAAGGGGCACACTGCAACTATGCAGCGCTCAACTGAGATTCTAACCTACGGCGGTACAGTCCGCGAAGTAATTTTCTTATTTATTTGCTCTTTTGCGAAAACGAAAAGTTCGGTTTACCTCAGGCAGCAAGGATCTCGAGAAAAGCGTCGTTTGGAAGACATCCCCGCGCGATATGGTCAGCTGAGCGCACTCGCGGAAATAGCATTTCTCGAGGACAATATGAACGCACCAGGGGGGGGGGGGGGGCAGGAATCTCGTAAGAGAGGCTTGCCCCTTGGGAGACTAAGCCAACGAAAGAGAATCCACCGACGAGATCGTCCCGAGTAGACGGTAAGGAGCGAGGTTTGCCGCGAGCACGGCACAACAGGCGCGCAGATCGATAACAAGGAAGCGAGATCCCACTCGTCAAAGCTCGGCCGAGAGGAGCCTCTAATTAAAGAGTACACACGCGTGGAGTCCGCGCGCCGTGTTTCCCACCTGGAGAGCATGGACGTACGATAGTAATAGTTTTCCCCACTCTGCGCGCTCTCTTCTCGGCAACACACACACAAGGTCACGATCACGAGAGCCGCACGAGGTGAACGCACGCGATTGTGGGTGTTAGCGACCTCTACGGCAAAAGCTGTTGCATCACTTTTCCGCTAATATTCCGTGGGAACCGATCTATCCAGCGCTCCGCGCGCGATACCACTGGATCGGCGTCGAAGAGCGGAGAGATAAAAAAAATCGCACGAGATTAATCGAGATCGAGAGTCCGGTCACGGCGCGGTGAACGTTTGGCTTTTCGTATACTTGTGGCTGGACACGCTTTCCGGGAATGCGAACACCTCGTCGATCGGTTTCTACGCCAATTGATTTTCTTGCGCGATTCGCTCACTTGCAGTCGAGTAAATGGCAACTAGTTTATTTGCTTTTCCAACTTACGCAGAACGCTTTTGAAAATCGATGTGTAAGCAATCGTTGCGATTCATGAAAAAAAAATTGATGTAATCATCTTAATGATTTCTCCGTAAAATGCAATCAGGTAATCAGATGAAACATACGATTCTCATGTATATATTGATAACTAATTAATCCGCATGAATTGATTAATCGATAAAAATTAT